CCTGTTGATCAAGTTCGCACTCCTCCAAACGTCGTCACTTTGTCACCTGAAAACACAAATGTGAACTAGTCGGTGGGTGTGTGCCGGAAACCTCTCCGATGCCTAAGTCATCAAATAGACAATAGACAAAAGCTCTGGGTATTCAAGAGTAGAAATTGTCATATCTATACATAGGTCCTATTATGAGCTTTTGTAGTTTTTTCTGGCACAATCCTAGTAGGACTCCAACTCTCCTCATAAGAGTCCTCCTAGGAATCACACTCCCAAGGATAATGCCTATCCTGATAACTCCTTACTCACTGTTTACCTAAGTGAGATAGTTGCAATCTCTTACCTTGACTAGCACAAGATTTAACCGTGCTTACACAACTCGGTACTAATTAAGTCAATTCAGTAAGCCTTGACTTTGAAATGACACCCTGCTAAGCTACCCATTAGCTCGATCCGATTTCCACTGACACCTCGGTCTATGACCACCAGGTCATGCCGCTGGTAATCCACCTCTGACCGGCTTGACCAGGAAGGTCTAGGACCGCGTTACTGAGATAATTACTTTGGTCCAAATCTAGAATACGGTTACATTTTCTTGGCCTTATAGCGCGGTCCATCCTTATCCCAGCTCGGCCCAATATGGCCATAAATTACCCTCTCATTTATAATTCATGAATTTGACCATATCAATTGACAAATTTGTTTTGAATTGGAATCCAATTCAATTCGCATGCTAGAGGCTATCAATTAGGAACTTGAGCTAGTAATTGTCAAGAGAAAAGTATATATATATATATATTGAACAAGAAAACGCAAACCGACTTACACAGAATCCAGAGATAAAATAGAAATTGATACATGAGGTGTGGAGTGTTGCCTATAATCGATGGAAGTAGTTTCCCTTTCAAAATTCCAAGCTATATGGAGCGGCCAATTGTTAAATAATAATTGGAATCATACTGACAACTAATTGTACACTGTGGGATACAATTTTGAGTTGTTCACGTAGTCTAAGTAGTTAGCCGAAGTGCCACATGGTCTCGATTATTAGCCGAAGTGCCACATGGTCTCGATTATTAGCCGAGGTGCCATGTAGCCGAGCTGCATGGTCTATAATCAATACATAATTAATTTTTTTGTTAGATAAATTCAATGCAATCTTATCTTAGGTTTAACATAAGAATTTTACTTATTGAAATTTAGACAAGAGAAGCTTAGATGGATCTAATAACACCGGATAGGGTATGCATAATAAATTATTTTTTGGCATGTTGGGTATTTACTTACCAACTCATTATTGAGGATGTGTGTTGGAATTATAAATTTAGATAAAAATTAAAAATATATACAATTTTTTTTTTCTAGTTCTATCATATTTTTATTTTTTTAAAATTTTTATTTAAATTCATAATTCGGAGAGTTTGTTAGTTCTGATGATTGACTGTGGTCAATGAATCAAGTTCTTGACTTTTCTCATCCTTATTTGATCTGATGATTTTATTTGATCCGATAGTTCAAGTCAAATCCTGATTGTGTCATTTTCAGGATAAATATAAACCATGTAGCTGGATAAAATCATGGTCCATTGTTGACTAATTGGGGAATTAATAACAATACTTGGAAAAACACTTCATAGTCTAACGACAATTAGATTGATTCTAATTAAATGACACATGGCTTGTAATAATATAGTAAAATGATACTCCGATAACAACGGTTTCCTAAGCTCTCCAGTATCATGGAATTAGGGAGTCTTCAAATTTTAGATTCTCAAAGACGGTGCCTCTTAAAATTCTCATCTACTGTAAATCCACCACGTGTCCCAGCAGCCCATTAAATTACCCCAAATCTGTGGGGCCTTTTTAGAATTTTATTTCTTTCTTTTATTTTTTTAATATCTTTTTCTACAATCGCACCGCCCAAGCACACCCCCCAGACCCAGACCACACTCAACTGAAAACAATCCCTTTTTCATGGGACACATGCATAAGCTCACTACTACTACTATCAATTCCATTTTTTAATTTTTACTGCCACGTGGCCTTCATCTCAGCCTTCCAAATCTTGGTCCCACCACGTGTCAGCTGGATCGCTTAACACGTGGCATTCACATCCATACCACCGAATACGCACTTTTTTATTTTTTCATGCCGGTGCGAAAAAAATATATAGGAAATTATATGGTAAAATTAATATCAAAATGGAAGAAAATATATGGCACCTGATGATATATAAGGCCATGTTTGATATCTATTTTCTAAATTTAGTGATATATTATCAAGATAATTGGTTGATAATTAAAAAATAATTTTTTTAAAAAAAAGATTTGACTTAGATATTTTAATAGATTAACACATCATTAAATTTAAGAAGTGAGTCTAATTTTTGGGACTAAAAGCACCATATAAATTTGCTCTAAGGCTACCAAATGTTTTTGAGATATTCACATATTGGTCCTATTTACCAACCTTATTTACTTATTAATCCTGATCATTTTTTCACCTATCAATAAAAAGTATTTTAGAATTTATTGATGCGTTAAAAAAAGTGTAAAAAAAATTAAATCCACCACATAAGATTAACTCGTAATTTATGGAATTTTTTTCTTCCTATAAATGGACTTGTTAATAATACAATTGCTTTTATTTTGAATATGGTGAAAACTATACATAAATGAATTTAGACTAAACTCATAATATATTTTGGGTAAATTACAAATATACCCTCTGAAATTTATTTAAAATACGAATTGCTCCTGTAGTTTGGAAAATTACAAATATCTCTTTGTCAGAATTTTTTATTTAACAGAATTAATTGAAAAAGTGAAATTTTTAACTGTTCACCTATACAATAATAAAATTATCTGAATTATTAATTGAAATAAAATTTTAACATTATTAAAAATTGTTATTTAACTTGATGATTTATTAATAAAATGACATATTTGTTATGAAATTAGAAACCTTAGGAGATATAATGTAATTTCTAGAATCACAGGGGATAATTTGTAATTTAAATAAATCTCAGGAGGTGTGTTTATAATTTACCCTAATATTTTTAAGTAATACTTTTATTTACAAAAATTCTATTCTTGCAAAATATTTATACAAAAATAACACAATAATCATTTAACTGTTATTTTTGTAAATAAAAGTCATTTGTATAAATATTTTGTTTTAAAGTGAAAAATTCATACTAAATCATATCATTCTGAGTACAAAAAAATTATATAAATTTCTATTTATATATTGTTATTCTTTATTTACAATTTATTTTGTGCACCGAATTTTCTTTTCATTGGTAACAACCTTTTTTTGCTATCCACCCAAAAATCACAACCTTTTTTTTTTCAAAACTTTAAATGGGTCTCTTTCTATGTACATTGTTCACAAATTTTCAAACTCTTACTTTCACCTTCCGTGTACCCCAGGCACGAATCTCTATCTTTTGACAAAAGAAAAATACTAAACTACCCCGATTTAACAATGAGATATTTGTAGACTATATAATAGATGTTAATTATGTTTTTAAATGAAGGGTCAGGGTAAAGGAGTACTAAATTATTCAGTAGTCTTGAGCCCTATATAACATACATGGTCCTCCAAAACAATATTTATGGACAGGACATGTAAATTCACTTTTTGTCAGGTCTTTAAAGATAAAAAATAACACATTTTACAATTTTTTATTGACAAGAAATGTTTCATAATAAGTCACACACTATTTCATATAATAATTTTATAGATTTTTTTTTTCTTGGATTCTTGTATCATAACAAAAATGAGTGAGACTCTCACCACCCCCGATGAATACTGATTGATTCAAAAAAAGTTATTTTTTATTTTTTATCTTTTATTTTATCTTTCTCTCTTTAACCCCACGTATGTGGGGTGGTGGGAGTAACCCTCAAGTGAGGGTCTGTATAATTCTTGACAAAATGGCCCCGTTAGGTGTAGCTATTAAAACAATTTATAGATTATAGCTTAACAGATTATAGATTATGACTTTAATCAGAAGTTGTTAATCTGTTTGGTGTAACTGTTGGATTATAGATTTAAGTTGCTGAGTAGTGTTTGTTAAATAAGCTGTGAAATAGCTTTTTCATCTAATTTTTATTTTTTGTTTGTCTACATTTCTCATAAATAATAATAATAATAATCTATAGTCCATTTGGGTCTTTTTCTATTTTTAAAAAAATAAAAAATAAAAAAATTTAATAGTATAACCATAAATTAACATGTCCACAGCAGAAGTTGATAATCAGAAGCAAGGGTGAGCAGCTTCTTAGAATCAGCTTTTTTGAATTAAAATAAACTGTTAGAATCAGAAACAATTTGAAATAAGTTTAACCAAACAATCTAAAATAACTTTTTCAAAACTAAAAACTATAAATCAACTCTAAAAAACTGAAACAAACACCCCCCAATGTAAATTGGGTTTTGTTGGGAGACTACTGCACGTTTTACTTAAAAGTTCTGTAGAGCCTTTTAAAGAGGGGTCACTACCTTTTGTGCAATAATACATGTAAAAGTTGCCTATATATAACATAAAAATGTTTCGGTAAAAGGTTCAATCACAAAAGCTTTAAATGGTTGAAAAATTCTTTAAAATTTTAAATTTTGAGCTCTAAAACTAATTTTAATGAGTTGATAGTGGATCTTATTTAATGTGATGTGATATTTTAGTCTTGATTTGTTTGTTTATTAATTTTTTTTCTTCTTATCATATCATTAGTATTCTATTAAAATATAAAAATTAATGTTCTGAATCATTACGGTAGATAGTTATACAGAGCAGCCCTGAGAGCTTTTTTTTGTTTTTGTTTTCCCCTTCAGCAAGTAAGGACAAGGGAAGAAAGTCCCACTTTTTAAAGAGAGAAATTCCCTGCAGTTTCCAGCGGTACCCCGCCTCATTATTTTTATTCACATATAATTATATTTTTTCAAAGATTGATATTTTATAGAACCTCAAAAATTTTATGAATCTATAATATATTTACTAGTGTGTCAGTGTGTGTATATATATGCGTGTCCTGGTCTCCATACTAAGCATTCAAAGACCATAACCAAGCCATTCTCTTATGTTGTGATCATTCATCACCCCTCTGTTCTTTTTTCACTTCTTTGTTGCATTTCTTTCATTTAGTTTCCTTCTCTCTCACTGAAAGCTTGTTCTAAGGGCAATCTCATCTGTTAGTGATCAGAAGAGAGAGAGAGAAATGGGAGTTTCAGGCACTTTGGAGTACTTCTCTGAATTGCTGAGCAGTGTCAAGAAGGTCAAGAAAATGAAACAGTTAAACACTGTGGCTCTCAAAGTCAGGATGGACTGTGAGGGTTGTAAACGTAAAGTCAAAAACACACTCTCTTCTCTCAAAGGTATGATGATTGTATTTTGGTATCAAACTATTCTGTGTGGCGCCTTACATGCATGGGGTGGTTGTTAAATTATGTACATCATTAGCGTTATATAAAACGTTACAATTCGTTTTCAATTCATAACATCTCCATTCTATATTTTAGAAGATTATAATACATAATTAAAACGTGTAATGCTATACAAATATATTTTTTAATATAAAAATTTCATACACAATGATTGTGAATTTTTATAAATCTATCCTTTCAAACAAAAACAATGATCCATGTGGTTCAAAATTGCAAAAATGTCACTAATACTATTAAAACACCATTATGTATGATTTTTATTTATAAAATTTATGTTTGTAAATTATTTTCCCATCCAAATTCAAACGCAACTGTCTATAATTATTATGTAATTATAAGATTTCCAACTTCTTTTAATCGTAAGTAAAATATCTATTATGTAGGATCTGATTTTTATATAAGGTTGGTTTAGTAATATAATTAATGATAAGTTTTGATGCATTGTTGAGAGCAGGAGTGAAATCAGTGGATGTGGATTTGAAGGAGCAGAAGGTGACAGTGAGTGGATATGTGGATGCAAAGAAAGTGCTGAAGAAGGCTCAATCTACTGGTAACAAATCTGAGCCATGGCCATATGTTCCATACAACCTGATAGCTCACCCATACGCTGCTCAAGTTTATGACAAGAAGGCACCTCGTGGTTTTGTTAGGGGCACTGAAGACACTGCCATTGCTACTCTCAGCACGGTTGAACAACACTACACCACCATGTTCAGTGATGATAATCCTAATGCTTGCTCTATCATGTAGAAGTACTGTAAAGCTATAGTTACTTAGTTATTTATGTGTACACTAATTAGTGGGAAATACAAAATATATGGTAAAGAGTCTGATCAGGGTTTTGTGGGTTTTGATCACAATTTTTGTTGATCTTCCTCTATTATGTTTAGTGGTGTAATTAATGAATATATACAGTGGGTTTATGATGAAACACATAGTATTGCCTGTTTTTATTATTTTCATTTTTTTTTATTTTTTCATTTTTTGACCAGCAACATTCCGGAGTTGGGGCTTTTTAGATTCATCTCTAGAGAGTAAATCCTGAATATTTGTAGTCATTAACAAATAGCATATAATGATTTTGGTTTTTGTGTTGTCAGTTGCAATTATTATTATTATTATTATTGTTATTGTTATTATTTTACTTTATTTTGGATAGAAGTCAGTTGCCATAATTTGGTTTTACCTACTCTTTAATTTTCGGTTTTAAGGAAACAAACATGTGTGACTGACATGTGTGACTGCATGACCTTGGCCCCGTTTGGTAGAATTGTGAGAAAGTAATTATAACTTATAACTTAACAATTTATAGTCTATAACTGTGAACATAAACTGATTTTTGACTTATAAATTAAGCTTCTCCTCCCCCACTCAAAGAATAAGTTAATTTTTTACTTACAAAAAATTATAAACTGTATTGTTAAGCTGAACCAAACATATCAAAATAGCTTAAATTAAACTAAAAATTAAAATAAGCTGAAAATAAACCCTACCAAATAGGCCCTTACATGGAACAGGAACCGAAGAAGGTCCCAGGAAAAAAAGGTTTGCTATAGTCAAAATCTGTGTGCATGATTTTTGGTCATATGTAGACTACTGTGTGGTGAAAATATGTAAATTTTCTATTTGATGTGTTATCGCATAAATCAAAAATTAATTTAATTTAATAGCATTAACAATTTGATTTTTCACCAATAATTTGGATAAATTACATTTTAACTCTGACTTTTAGTCGAATTTTTAGTCTCTTATTCCAATTGTAATAACTAATCCTATTTGAAAATTAATTATTTTAGTTCACTTTTGATTTTTAGGGGATTTATATATAGTTCTTAATATAGGTCCTGTGAGAATTAATGACATTTTTCATTAAACATTATTAAAAAAAATCACTAATTGTTAATTTTCAGCAACAGTTTAAAAATTGCCACAAAAAATGTCACTAACTGTTTAAAAAAAAATCATTACAAAAAAGTCAGTAATTTTTAATTTTCAACGACAGTTTAAAAAATTTATCACAGAAAAATATCACTAATTGTAAGTTTTAGAGACAATTTATAAAAATCGTGACAAAAAAGTCACTAATTGTCAATTTTTAATGACATATGCGAAAAATGTCACAAAATTATTTTTAACGATGATTTTATTAAAATTTATTTTCAATAAGACTTGATAGAAATTAAATCTAACTATTAGGATCTATTAGTAGTTTACTCTTAATTTTTTGTAAAAAAATATGCAAAAAAGTAAAGAAAATGACGTGACAATTTGTAATAATTTTTTGACTAAAAACTATAGTCCCCAAATCATCAAAATTCAACTTGTATTTTAAAGAGGTCCACCCGTTACCTCACTATTTTAAAATTTGAGTAACAGTTAAAGTGTGAAAATTAAAAATAGAATTTGAGTAAAATTATAAATGGCTCAGGGTTCGTTTGGGAAGCGGGTTAGGTTTTTGGCTATTTTAGTCTGGGATTAAAAAGTCTCGTATGAGAAGAGTTTTTTTAGCTTTTTTGACTTTTTATAAGAGAAAGAATGTAATAATCATAGGTTGGATGTGATATTTCGTCTAATTGAACTAAAAAGTCTATTTTGTCTTTTTATGATCAAAATAGCCCCAAACTCAACCCAACCCATCTTCCCAAACGAAGCCTTAGCTGTATCATTTTTGCTAGGTTCTGGTTTACTTTCCTAACTTCTTTTCTTCTGTTATTTTTTATGGGAAAAAAATCACATAAAAATGGATGGAGGAAACTCTTTTAGAATTTTACTCAATAAAAAAACGGTCCCCAACTCCAATTTGCAGGACAACGCTCTCAAGAATATTGTTTACTTTTTCTACCTCTCCCATTATATGCATATTCCCTTAGCAATTGAAAGTCTCCATATATGAAATCCGAGACCTACCTAGTTTGGTGATCTAACACACCAACACTCTTGACTCTTAATCTAATCGGAAAGTTATGGTATTGCTATTTGTTAAAAATTCATTCAAGATTAGTTTATTATGTGAACAAATTAAGTTTGAATGCATTTTGAAACTAGTTAATTTTTTAGACTTGGCTTGTGAACGGCTTGATTGAAACTTATTATATGAGATCAGTTTGAAAAATAAATAAATTAAATTTGAAAGCATTTTTAAATAACTGTACTCACCTCAATTCAGCTCACTCATTAGTCCTATTTGCAGTAAAAAATTTAATGAATGTTGTTATCTTCTTCTGCTTGGGTTTTTTTTTGATAAAAAAATTAATGCAAGTGAGAACTTCTTGGTGTATGCTGTAAAATCTGTAATATCAGTATACATATAAGGTTACATTATAAATAATCAAAGCTCATATGATAATTGATCAATCTCAATAGGCCAAACGAATTACAAGAAAGGGGGAAAAAAAAGGGTAAATTATACAAATAGTTCTTATAGTTTATACGATGTGTCAATTTGGTCCATATTGTTTCAATTTACTCGATTTTGTCCCTTAATTTAACGGATTGTGTCATTTTAGTCCAATAAATAACGGCTATTAAGTTTCGTGAATGGAAAGTCAAACTATGTGTCAATTAGGTCCCTGTCAAAATCGAGCACATTAAAACAATAGAGACCAAGTTGACACACTGTGTAAACTATAATGACCAAATTGACATATTGTGTAGATTTTTCGTCTACCAAACTTAACAACTGTTATTTATTAGACTAAAATGACACAATTTGTTAAATTAAGGGGCAAAATCGAACAAATTAAAACATTAGGGACCAAATTGACACATCGTGTAAACTATAGGGACCATTTACATAATTTACCCAAAAAAAGAAAAGAAAAAAAAAAGAAAAACAAATTATTCCTTTTGCTCTCATAATTTGACTCAAATTTTTATTTTAATTTCTATTATTTTTATTCAAATAATATGACCATATATATTTTAAGTCTAGTTTTAATTTGATACTTTAGTTAAAATTTTTGTTAATTTTTTTTTTTCTATATGTACATCTCAGAAAATTAACAAGTGTCCAAAAATCTCAAGAAATTGACACGTATTAAAAAAGTGTCAATTTTAACATTCAATTTGAACAGAAATACCAAATTGAAACTAGACTTAAAAGTATAAGGATTAAATTATTCAATTCAAATAACATGAATGAAAGAAAATTTTGAATCAAACTATATATGTAATTTATTCAAAATAATAATAATAATAGTAATAGTGGTAAAAAAATAAAAAGAGAAGAGATACGTACGACGTTGAAGATAGGTCATTGTTTGCATGATGAAATTTTGTTTCATGGGAATCTAGAACTCTAAAAAGATTACAAAAAGGGTTTCGAATCTAATTCTATATAGTACTTTGTGTTATAGTTATCTACTATTAGCCCTGGTGGTGTCATACTCATACATGGTCTGCATCCAACTAGTCAGAAAGTCCCAAACTAGAACCAAAATGTTTGTCCTCCCTCTCAAGACTAAAGGTGGCTGTTGTGCGACTATTGTGCGGTTTGCGGGGTTTATTTTAAAACTTATTTTGATTATTAAAATTGTTCATTTTGTAGGATACATTAAATTTAACATACTTGTAAAAAAAAATTAATCGGATATGATAATTCTTTCACAAAGTGCATTTGTATTCAATTTTGTAATTCAAATCATATTTGTCATTATTTTTTTAAAAAAACAAATGAAATTTGATGATAGGCCTATCGATATGCGAAACTTGATTTTTTTACAGGTATGTTTTACTTAATATATCTTAAAAAATGATCGATGATCATCTAAATGGATCTCAAAATTAGTCTCTCGAGGTTTCACAACCGTGATTATTTTGCCCTCTGCACAGTAATCGCCCTAATTCCTTCTCGTGGTAGATACAATAATGATAAGAGTAAATTATGACTAGTCTTATGTGATGGACTTAAATATCTATAAATAAATAAGTCTAGTCAATAGTATCGGCCCTCAAGTATCTCAAATGATACTGTTTTTTGGCCAAAAAAAATGGCACAATTGGAGATGGCTTTTGATTTATTTATTTTTTTGTCATTTTTTTTTAAATTTAAAACGGGATCAGTTTTTAATCTAACAGATGTTTTAGTACACTATTAAAGATGTTCTAAACCACTTAAAATGTTCTTGTGTCACAATGGTATAATCTCCAACTTTTATAATAAAGATTGTGAGTTCGAATTCCATGTGGTACGTTTGGACATTTCCCCTTAGATCAGTTCTCTAACCTACCATCTAAAAAACAAAGTTTTTTAACCCGAACACTAAAAAAAAAAAAAAAAAAAAAAAAAAAAAAAAAAAAAAAAAAAAAAAAAAAAAAAACCTCTTCTTTCAAAAAAGAAAATGAAAAACAACTTTACAAAACCAACTTCTAGTTTTAAAAGGAGCAACGCGTGGGGATCCTCTAGAGTAAAACTTGTGAATTGATTTGTGAAGTGAAATGGTGTGGACCCCACTTAAGAAGTGAAGAGTTGAGATCTTTTCTTATCAAAATGATGTCGTTTTGGTGGGATTGGTGAAAGGAAAAAAAAAAATCTCAAATTCAAAAACCCTTCTTTCTCTTCTCTCTCTACTCACTCGCCAACGGCCACACCTCTCCTACCCCTCACAACGGCAAGCTGACCTTTCCCGCCTCTCCAAGTACCCTTCCCTAACACCAGCCACTTTTGACACAAATATAGAGAGAGAAGCACAGAGTATAGAGAACTCATTTGAGAGAGAGAGAGAGAGAGAGAGAGAGAGAGAACAAAAAGGTATGCTTCAACGGAAACAATTTTTTCTCCCGTAATGACCCCAAAATGTTAATCATAATTATAAGTGGTTAATTATGTATTGAATTTTAATTATGACATGTGTCAAGTGATTAATTGTGAATTATCTAATTTGATTCTTTGTAAACATCTGTTTAAATTGAGAAACTGTCTGTTGTGAGATCGGCTTTGAAACTGAAATTGACG